CAATCCGACCAGTTGGTTGGCGAAGAATCGAGCACCGAGCAGCCCAACTGTAAGGTCCTAATGGCTAGAGGGGGATTGAATAGCCTATTAAAAATTTCTACAACACTTAAGCAAACTGGTTAGACAAATATAAGGCGAAGCGAGTGTTGCGCTAGCCTACTAAAATACAAGCCACCTACCACAATTCTAATTTATATAATCTCTATCCACACAATGCCTATGTCACTATACTAAGTTAGTGTGCTCTCAAAGGCTAACTAAAGAGCCACACTAACTAAACTAACAAGCTCTCACGACTAGCTACACTGAAGAGCTTGATAATTAATTTGTGGTAATGTAAAGAGAGTTAGCAAAATAGTTATACCGTCGAGTCGAGGAATGAACCAATCAATCACAAGAATAAATACCAATGAAGACCAATCAGCTCGGAATCAAATGATGACACAATGACTTTTCACCAAGGTTCACTTGCTTGCCGGCAAGCTAATCCTCGTTGTGACGATTCACTCACTTGGAGGTTCACACGCCAAACCCTCGATAGGGTGCTGCACAACCAACACAAGATGAGGATCACACAAGCCACGAGCAATTTACTAGAGTACCTTTTGGCTCTCCACCGAGAAAAGGTCAAGAACCCTTCACAATCACCACGATTGGAGCCGGAGACAATCACCAACCTCCGCTCGACGATCCTCGCTGCTCCAAGTCGTCTAGGTGTCGGCAACCATCAAGAGTAACAAGAGAATCCCGCAGCGAAACACGAACACCAAGTGTCTCTAGATGCAAACAGTCAAGCAATGCACTTGGATTCACTCCTAATCTCACAAAGATGATGAATCAATGATGGAGATGAGTAGGAGGGCTTTAGCTAAGCTCACAAGGTTGATATATCAATGCAAATGACCAAGAGAGTGAGCTAGAGCCGACCAAACGATATTTATAGACACCCCCAGACAATAGAGTCGTTGGCTCAATTGTTGGGCTGACTGCGGGACGACCGGACGCGCAGGTCGTGTGCACCGGACGTGTCCGGTGTGGTGACCGGACGCGTCCGGTCGCTGCGTCCGATCGCAGCCTGACCGCCATGTGTTCCTTTCAAATTGTTTAGCCATTGGCGCCCAACGGCTATCTCTATGCACAGTAATGCTATGTGATCGGACATGCTGTTAGAAAACGACCGGACGCAGGAGACGCAGCGCCCGGTCGAGTCCAGAGAGCTCCCAGAGCCGCTCTGGGCCGACCGGACACGTCCGATCACACCGGACCGGACGCTCCCAGCGTCTGATCAATTATTGCGCTGAAAACTCGAAACTTGCTGGTTCACACCGAATGCGTCCGGTGTGGTGACCGGACGTGTTCGGTCGCTCTCTGCAATCCTGTTTCAGGCTATATCACTTTGACCTGACGCTGAACAGTAACTTGCCAGCGTCCGGTCACTCCACTGAGCCAGAGTCCGATCACCTCGGCAACTCTGCCCGCGCCTGGCCAGAATACCAGACGCGTCCGGTATCGATATCGGACGCGTCCGGTCACATTAGAAACACTGTCGCTTGAGACAGTACCGGACGTGTCCGGTACGCATGTCGGACGCGTCCAGTCACCCCGTGACCAGCGCAATCAACTTCTTTTCAACTCTATCTTTTTTACTCTTGTTCAAATATGCCAACCACTAAGTGTATCACCTTGTGCACATGTGTTAGCATATTTTCACAAATGTTTTCATGGGTGTTAGCACTCCACTAGATCCTAAATGCATATGCAATGAGTTAGAACATCTAGTGGCACTTTGATAACTGTATTTTGATACGAGTTTCACCCCTCTTAATAGTACGGCTATCGATTCTAAATGTGATCACACTCGCTAAGTGTCTCGATCACTAAACCGAAAAGCTCCTATCAATTTCACCTTTGCCTTGAGCTTTTTGTTTTTCTCTTACTTCTTTTCCAAGTCCAAGCACTTGATCATCACCATGGCATCACCATCATCAAGTCATGATCTTCATTTGCTTCACCACTTGGAGTAGTGCTACCTATCTCATAATCACTTTGATAAACTAGGTTAGCACTTAGGGTTTCATCAATTCACCAAAACCAAACTAGAGCTTTCACCAACCAACTGGTCAGCGGCGAAGTGAGCGCCAAGTAGAAGTGAGCGTCGAACAGTCCGACTAGCTGGTTGGCAACGAAGGTCATGAACCTAGCGGTCCGACCAGTTGATCAGCGGAGAAAACAGTGATGGAGCTTGCCGGAGACATCGACCTTAGGTGAAGTGTACACACTTATGCTTCGTTGGCGAAGTCAGATGATCATCATCCATGACTTAGTCAAAGAGGATGTTAGTATTGATACATGTGCCGCAAGGTGTAATGTATACATTGTGGTCCCCGAGCCTGACAATAGATGAAGAATGCACCTGGTGTCAGAATCAAAGTACAACGATCAGTTAATCAGAATAACTAAGTCCCAGCTTAGCCGAGAGCACACATGACCCCTCAGCTTAGTGAAGACTAGTAAGAGGAAAAAGCGATTACACTCATTTGCTAGGTGAAGTGTACACACTTAATCCCCAAACCCTTTCAGAAGATAGAGCAAACATCTTGTAGCAGGATCAAAGAAACAAGTGAAAAGGACGAAATCCCGTCTTTGAGCATTGGACATTGGAGTAAAATTTGGAGAGTGCTTAGCACTTAAAAATGGAGAAAAAATAGAGAATGCTTAGCACTTTACCATTGGAGAAAATTGGAGAGTGCTTAGCACTTAAACCGTAAAGAAAATGGAGAGTGCTTAGCACTATACCGTGGAGAAAATAGAGAGTGCTTAGCACTATACCGTGGAGAACATAGGAGAGCATGGAGAGTGCTTAGCACTATACCGTGGCGAGATTGGAGAACATAGATATCATTGAAGAGTGCTTAGCACTTTACCGTGGCGAGATTGAAGAGCATGGAGAATATTGGAGAACATGGGGATCATTGGAGAGTGCTTAGCACTTTACCGTGGCGAGATTGGAGAGCATGGAGAATATTGGAGAACATGAAGATCATTGGAGAGCATGGAGATCATTGGAGAGCATGGAGATCATGGAGATCATTGGAGAGTGCTTAGCACTTAACCGTGGCGAGATTGGAGAACATGGAGAATATTGGAGAGTGCTTAGCACTTAACCGTGGCGAGATTGGAGAACATGGAGAATATTGGAGAACATTAAGATCATTGGAGAGTGCTTAGCACTTAACCATGGCGAGACTGGAGAATATTGGAGAGTGCTTAGCACTTAACCGTGGCGAGACGTGTGGGGCATTCTATCCCAAGATTCTTGTGCACGCTTAGGAATACGGGCATCATCGAGAAGCCGCTGCCGCCCGCTCATGACGCAGGGCATTACCGCTCATGCACGTTTAGGTGCTAGTCGAGGACAGGGCTTCTTCTGGATAACGCAAATGAAAACGTGACTGGTCGGCAGCGATGAAATTGCCCAGCCCTCGAGCTTTTCTGGCCTGTCGCCATGGCGACGGTCGTTGTTGTCACAACGCAGTTCTTCGCAGCGGTCATCATAGCGGCGCGACGCGGCTTGATTACGACTCAGGCGGCTCACTTAGCAGCTCGCTTGGTGGCTCGGTGGCACGGCGGCTCGATGGCACGGCAGCTCGAGCAGCTCGGCGACTTAGTGGCACGGCAGCACGACGGCTCGAGCGGCTACGCAGAGTCATAGGCAAACGGGCGTAATCGGAGTCTGACGGAGTCAATTTGCATGGGAAGGCGAAGCCTGTCTGACCGAGGCGAGGGCGCAGTCCGATTTAAATGGCGATAGTATACATCATCTTATAGATGTTTAGCATAGAGAAATAAGTAATTTGAGAAAAATTATGGAAAACAAATGAAGAAAGCACATGGCCGCTGCTGCTGTTGACAGTTATCAAGGTAGAGAAAGTTATATATATGTTAGAATATTCAATAGAAAAACCATGACTTAGCTCGTTTGGATTGATGACGTTGGAGTCACGTTTCATGAGTGTAGATCGGTAGCAAGGGAATTTATTTCTTACATGCATGCTCGATGCTGTATGTAGATGCAGTCAAAACACCGTGATGGTTTGTTTACTTATCTTGCATGGTATTGTAGATAATACATCGTCATTTGCTTGTTGACGTTGATCTTAGTGAAAATCACAATGCGTCGCCGTGAGTTGCCCCGTAATGTCGAGTCGATAGCGAGGACCACGCGAGCCGTTGATGAGGGCTGACGAGCGCCGCCGAAGGATGATGACAAGTCGATGTTGGGTGATGCAGCTGAATTCTTGAAGTTGACCTGCATGTTGCTGGCTTACCGCATGTAGTCGTCTCCTTGATTGGTGCTGACGAAGTGTAGCGTTGGACCTCCAGAGAACTCTTACGAAGAGCGATGCGCCTCCAAGCCTTGAGTTGAGATCGTCGTCTCACGGAGCCGAGTCGTCGCCGCAGATGGTGATGATGATGGAAAATTCCCATCTGGTTCTACCTAAGCGTAGTTGACGATGAAGCGACAAACAATCCGACCAGTTGGTTGGCGAAGAATCGAACACCGAGCAGCCCAACCAACTGGTCGGCGGCGAAGTGAGCGTCGAGTAGAAATGAGCGCCGAACAGTCCGATCAACTGGTTGGATATTAAATTATGGAACATCTTAAACACGGAGATATTAAACGTGGAGACATTTAATTATGGAAAATAATCGGAGAAATAATAATTGGAGGAGCATGGCGAAAACTCAGAGAAAATAATTGGAGAAAGTTGTATTAAATGCAGATATAGTAGAGGTACTTAGCTTTAGTCAAAATGTCTGATCGGCGGCGTATGACGTTATCTGGTCGGCGTCGACGAAATTGCCCGGCCCTTGAGCTTTCCAGCCTGTCGTCATGGCAGCGGTCGCGGTCGTCATAGCGCCGTTCTACATGGCGATCATTGCGACGCAGCAGGCGATCGGAACAAGTAGTCCCGCAACGTCGTCCTTATGCCACCGGGTCACCTTAAGCGGATCGAATCGGAGAGATTATTGTCGTAGCCGCATTCAATCTGGTCGGAGAAGCGATCGTTGCATGGCGGGTTCGGACCGCCGATGCGATCGGATGAACGCGCGGAGTCATACGTGTAGTCGTAGTCGAACGGGCATAGTAGCTGCAGTCGGACGTGGTTTGCATGAATTGTTCGTGCATGCACATACACATATACACCTTAGCCTTGCTTGCTTGGTAATGTAGATCATGTTCGACTCGGGAGAGCTTATCGATGGCGTGCTGGATTAGCCATTGTCGATGACGAGGAGCGTAGTCGACAGGTGTCACGGCATGCCGACGACAAGCCGATGACGAGGTCCATGCTGTCAATGACCAAAGCCGTTGATGAGCAGGCGATGTCGGCGAGCTGTCGATGTGGCCTGAGGACTGAACGACGAGTGCCGCCGACAAGGGACGACAACAAGAGCCGCGACGTGCTGACAAAGGGATGTCACGAGACAACGACGGGATCCACATTGTCAGCGAGGAACATAGTTAAGTTCCTGCCAATAATTGCCATGCAGACAAATAGAGATGTACAGGGGGTATACAAGTGTCGTATATTTAATTAAAACAAAAATATAGCTTAGCTTGTTTAATGGGCAGCTGGACGTGCTGATCTCAAGCTGGGGTCAGATCTTGAAAGTGCTAACGAGCATTAGATCATTGCATGTCTCTTTGTAGATGTACGCCCTCCTTTAGATCGTGTCCGATGACGTGGTCGATGAGCCAACGATGTTGATAGCAAGATGCGACGGCGAAGGATGCCGCGGGACCGGCGAATCGACGATGATGAGTCGATGGTGTGAGCCTCATTAGTAGGTGCCGCCGCCAAGGCCTGATGACTGCATCTCGTGTCAACATGAGATCGAGCCGATGATGATATTGTCGGCGCGGACAGGGCATCAGCATACGGACTCGACGACATCCACCGCCGCTAGTACATCGGTGCAAGGGCGTTGCTCGTTGCCACCGAGGCATGGAGACATAGAGACGTAGTTCTTCTGGGCGTCACGTTGCCGATCGATACATCGAACGCCGCCGTCGGTAGATGCTGATTTGTCGTGGATGATGTTGACCTTGAGGTACGCCATCTGGTTTGCCATGGGATCAGCACGCACACCCCTACCTGGCGCGCCACTGTCGACGAAATTTGATCGGCAGTCTACCGAGAGATATACCCATGGTAGTAGATGAATCGGTGGAGGTGCGCGTAATACAAACCAGATGATAACAGACACAAGACACAAGATTTATACATGTTCAGGCCGTCACCTTGACGTAACACCCTACATCCTGTGCTATGTTATTTTGTATTGATTGTGTATCAAATTCGATATATCGTCTAGAGGACTCCTGTCTCTATTTATATACTCTAGATGGGTAGGGTTACAAGAAAAATATTTTATTTAATATTATACAATAAATCACATCTTCATGTAGTTTTGCGCTGCACGCTTTGATCTTGTGGGTTGGACCATCTTTGAGACGTGGCCCATGTCTTGTCTTATGGGTAACGGGGCCATACCCCCACACTGGACTACGCAGATCGCAAGTAATCTTTTAGAAACAGAATCCAACCTTTTGGGATCTATCTTGTCATCTTTTATATACACGTCAGGACGTACCTTATCCAAGATCAAACAAGCAATGGTGCCAACAAAAGTGTTATGGCAGTTTGCACTCATTGAGGAAACAATGATTAAGGGACCAGTAAAACAGTAGGGTGGCTGAGGTATTGAAGCTAAAAGATGATATGAATAATCATGCAGGTAATGACTTCTATGTTTTTTTTTTCCGAGAACGTGCCTACGAATGTGTTTCATTAAGAGGAAAACAAATCCACCACACAGCTTTCACTGCCATGAGCTAGCTCAAGGTAAGGAGCTGACACTTACAAGTTTAGGATTATATTACAAATTTACCTTATAATTCACGAACTTTACTCTTGAGCACCAGTGTCCAGTCTTTGCTCTTTCCTTCAGCATGCTTTTCTTGCCACCTTGTCATCAAATCCAAGTCATACCCAGACCAATTGGTCATTGTATCTTCTTGTCTGTACTTGGTGTTACCACTCACTGAATTTAACTTGGGATCTATTTAGTTTCCTTAACAAGATGCCATTGTTTTGTCATTGGATCTTGGACAAGGTATATACAAGAATTCTCAGTTTATAATGAAGCTGAACATAATTTAGTTTACAATTATCTTTAAGTTTTTTTATTCCTGATAAAATATTTTGCAGCTAACAGAAAGATCCATGTTAACTTATAAAAATTAATATTAACATAAAATATAACACTCCTTGAAGTTAAACCAATGAAACCGATGGAAGTGTTATCAAGTCATCCAATTGATCGTGATTAGTCATCCTAGTCGGTATCCTAGACTCAACTAGGGGCTACGACTCGATTAGGCAGATTAGTTTTCTGGCCGTCCAATTAGTTGTCGACTGAATCCAGATGACTAGGGGGTGGACGACCGGAAACAGAATGGAATTGTTGGGCAGGTGAGGGCATGGGCTGCATGCTGCATCTAAGATGGCTTAGGCCACTTGGGCTCATGTTTTTCAGCCCAATTTGCAACCCTAAATGCTGCCACCATCCTAGAGTTATCTTCATGCTTGATTTGTACTCTAGAACATATAGTATATTAGTATATGTTTGGTATATTAGTCCTGATATAACGACTAGGGGATGACCAGAGCCAGGTCGACGATTAACCGCAACTAGTCACTTGGTCGGTCTCATGGCGACTAGGACTGACTAGACGACTTGATAACACTTTATTCAATGTGTACCTTGAGCTGCCTTGAGTTTTTGACACACATAGTAGTGCAATGTTGTATCTTGGATGGTAAGTTATTTATCTGAGTTAAGTTTACTACTCTTATTTTCTTCCATGATTTAAGCCTCTACCTCAAACAAGTTGGGAGCATGGCATATCATTAGAGTGGGGTGTTATATGTCGACAATGAGTATATGCTAAGGCCTAAGGCTAAGATTCAGAGTTACATTTTGGAAGACAGCATGTAACAATGGACAACTCAACTTGATCAGAAATGAACCTTTTGCTGGCAATCTTCGCATAGAAAAAGGCCTCCACAACCCCATAAAAAAGGAGCCTTTGCTAGTGTTTTCTCTCTTTTACTCAACTCATAAGTCATGATATTATGGAGTTTTCAAATTGAATGTCGTATCCTTGTAAAGGTTATAGACGAGTAAACTTTTTTTCCACAAACACATTATGTTTTTTTTTGGTAGCTAAAAGCTTTTAGTTCTAGATAATCCACGCATAATCTAGAAGATAATTAAGGATTTGATAAAATGTTTATAGAACAAGCAACTGAGTAAAGTAGTAATTTAACCCAGATAACTGCAACCGCTTGCACCCTCTACAAATTCTCTATATCATTAGTTGACATGAGAAACCAAGAGGTACAATACAGGTACCTCCTATTTTATGAGAAGGTAATGATGTTAATTAGCGACAATTAATGGCAGGAAGAACAAATACATCTCGGAATTTCTAGAGGATTGTAATAACACTTGAAGTTCTAACTTTAAGTACCTAGCTTACCTTGCAGGAGCCATGAAGATTTCGGTGGTTTTGAAGCAGAAATGGCCATTTCTCGAACCCATGGTGATTTACTTGGGCTGCACCAAATAAGATGCCCAAACCTCATCAGCTGGAGGGGGTGGTTGAACCCAGTGCCCAGGTATACGGCTGCAGGCAGGTGGAACATTTTGTCACCCTAGTACATTAGTATATGCTATTATATAGGAATAGAATATATTCGAGCAAAAACAATGAATGGTCATGCTAAATTATATTTTTTCCAGCAGCAACAAGATAAAAGCTATCATAAGTGTATCTGACTTGAAAGTTGAAAACACAACAATGCATCAACATCGATGCAATTGAACACCTAGAAGACGGGTCAGATCTGTGTTTTTACTTCAAGATGAAGAATAATATATTATGCCTGTTTGGAGCAAAACATAGTTCTTTCACAGGAATAGGTAAAACTCCTTGGAGTCCATTCTGTTTCCTCCAAATTGGAATAACTCCATTCCAAACAGGATGCATTGACCAACAAAGATGCACCTTTTTCAAGTGCAATTCCTAACCTAGAGTCTAGACCATAATAATGGTCAATAGATGCTATTTCACAATAAACTCCTCATGAGGTTAACCCTCCTTTCATCTTGTTACGGTTAACTAAACAAGCTCACAAACCATAACTGCACAGAAACTTGAAAATACTTACAGAAATGCTTGCTTAATGCATCTAAGCTAACTTGGAAGAAATTGTACGAACAAGTAGAAGTCTTACCTTCCTCCAGGTCTGATGAAAGAATCCCACATTCTACGGACCTACAACAGAGACAATATAAAGACAAGTTGATTGAGTAGGTATATTGAGTAATTGCCCATGCCATGAAGTGAAAATTATCAGGTTATTTGTTAGGTTACGAAGCCTAGTTTGTATTTCTCTGATTTACACTGCCTTATATACGATTCATAATAAATAAGAAAAGGCTTGCCCAAAGTTCTGAAGTTAGCATAATTACCTCAATGAGTGTCCCCATGTCATAGCTACTTCCATGATAATAATGGTAGAACTCAAAAGGCAGACTGCTTACAGGGTCATGATGTTCATGCCCTTTTCCCTCAAATCTATGGCCTTCATCTTCATGTTCAGTTTTCTGGCTTGCCTGGTCATTTCTCTCATTTATCCCGCCATCTCCCAGGTCCTTGTCTTCAGACGGTTCACTAGGTTGTTCAGAACCACCTTCTTGAGAATTGGCATTCTGTGGAGGCTTCCTTGATTCCTCAGCGGTCAGAATAGCATCCTTAACAGCATCAGTTCGAGCAGCAGATGCAGCTTGGCGCTCCTCTTCCTCGACTGCAACCTTAACACGCTCGAGGTATTTATCATCCTCTTCAGGAAGAAAATGACCTAAAACATTTAACATAAAAAGAAACTCATATATCCATCTCTTGTATTTACACTGAACAAAATAAAAAAGGGAAAATCAACACCACCAACGGAAAAAGAAAAGTTTGCAGTCTTGCAGAGACAGGAGCACTCTGTCATTCCAAAAAGTTTGTGCTAGTGGGATCATACACAGGTAGGAGCAGATTTGTATTGCCAAATGGATATGACATCCTCTTCTCTTAAAAAGAGAAAAGGATCGTTACAGGCATATGTGCTTCAGCGGTTCAGCCTTCAGCATGCAAAATGCCAGAATATGAATAACATAGTATTTAAAGTCAGAAAAACACAATGATAACCCATCTCTTCACTTTAGTAAAAGTCCATCATGGGAATTGTTGTTTCACTGTGTAAGTCGACCAGGAAAATAAAGTCTAGTCATTAGGCACCATAATTTTTCCTGCCACTGCCCATGCTTTCAAGGCACAATAATAACATGAATGATTAAGTAATAATATATTTATTAATTAAATACAAAATAATCCGATTAATAATTATTTTCTAGATAATACAACTCATTCATGTACAGAACATATTTTGTAAACACAGAGAATGTAAATAAATAAATAGGAAAATAAGAATATCTTACCTTGTTTCTTCATTTTTTGAACTCTTATAGACCGAAGCTCCTGAAGTTTCTCGACCATGAGGGCAAGCTCCAGCTGGAAGTACCAGATTTCAAATTGCCAATTGGGAAAATTAGCTTATTCAGGATAAAGAATATTATGATGATACTATTAACTCAAAAACGTCCACAGAATCATTAGTAGATTAAAGTATAAAGAAATTCGAATGACTACTCAATTCTTCATGAACTGATTGCAAGATAGCTCTCTATAAAAAAAAACAAGAAAATAGGTGAATGATATCCCAGAAGATTGCTTGCACTAAGACAAGTATAGAGATCAGAGGGTTTCTAGAGTTATAAGAAAACTAGATAAAGGTCACAAGAATAAAAAGGCATGACTTAAAATGTTGCAACTAAACTTATACAAACAAAAAAATCATTGGTTTGTATCAATGTTCAGTAGTATGCGGTATGCGCTTGCACACAACTAGTAAAAGACAGTTCTGAAACACCCTAGAGAAGAGAATTTTCACAGGACAGCTTAGGCATGAAATTTTATTCCATAGTACCTCAGATTCTAGACGCTTTCTTTCCTCATTTGCTTTCTTTCTAGCAATCTGCTGCATGCTTTCCACCTGGTTTACAGGTACAAAAGTGAATACATTAGTTGTGAAGCAACAATGATGTCCTACTGCAATATATCTTTAATTGTGAAACAAATTTCACAAATACGAGAAAGCACCTTCCGCTTTGCAATGTTCTTGGCTATTTGCTTAGCCCTCCATTCATCAGCTTCCTGATCAATTCTATCATAATCTGCGCGCTCCTGTGAAACAACAAGACAAGAGATGCCATCACATTTCACATAGTTGGATTTTTGGCAGTTTGGAGGGAATGCATTCAGAAAAGTATAGCCACAAAAAAAAGGAGACAATGATGAGTGGCACCTTCTGAAAAAGCTCTGCGACATGCTTCCTTCTCCTCTGCCTCCACCGCTTATTTCTCTTATATTTCTGCAGCTTCTGAGTCAACCTAACCATCGCTGATCTCTCCTCCCAAGGGCCACTTTGGCTAGTCACGGAAGAGATAGGCCCAAGAAGATGCTGAAGCTGATGACAAAGGTAATTGGCTGCATCGGTTGTCATCGACTCATGAGTGTCCTGACTAATCCCCATGGACCTAGCTAGTTTAACAAAACGGAGGGGCTTGTCCTCTGAAGAATCACCAGACCCTGGCGGCAATTCTGCCGAAGACGAAGCAGATTCCTGCGTGGCAGCATCACCGGAATTTCTGGCCACTGCAATTTCCTCGATCTCTTTTATCCTGACAGGTCAAATCCTCTCTTAAGAAATGGGCATAAATAAGCAAACTACATGGTCATCAGTAGCTTTCGAGGGTTTTAGGAAATGGGGACTCACAGTGCAGTTGATAACTCAACGGTTTGTTGCAGCTTCCTCACGTGATCCCGCACGTTGTCCCGCTGCCAAAAGGTAACCGCAGGCGAAGGCGGGGGCGGGGGCGGTTGCTGCCACTGCCATGGTTGAGGCTGAGGAGGAAAGGGGGGCGGCACCCCAAAGGCATTCGGCGGCCGGAACATACTGGCGGCTGCGGACGAGGAACACGAAGGCAGTCGTCAATCGCGGTCGCGGGGTGGCAAGCACGGTATCGCCCGAAGAACGGACGGCGGAACTGAAACTGGCGGAGAAGTCGTGCCTTACCGAGATTATTAAGTGACCCAGAGGAGATGCGGCGCGGGAATAGGACGGAGCGTCTGTAGAACCGCGGCGAAGGCGGCCGGCGAGCGACGCCGCGGCGGAGGCGGCGGTGAGTGGTGGGCGGGCGCGGGATCGGCTGCGGCCAGTTCCAGTTGGAATTGGGACGGGAAGGGGGAAGAAGACGCGAGGAGCCCAGAAGGGGCAGGCGGTTGGGTGCTCGTGCGGGTTCTCGGCCCGAACGCGTTCGTGGTTCGTGGGCCGTCTCCCGCTTGGAACGGGCGGGGTGGGCCTGCTCCCTCTCTCCAGGCCGCGTCTCTCTCTATCTTGTCAAAAATATTGCCGGGCCAAGTTACGTGCACAGTGTACAATTATGACAATCTGAGGGACGTTTCTGCAAGATTGACGGGTGATTGCCTGATTGATTGGGGCTCGGCGGGGCCCACGGACGTGGGACAACGTTGTGATGGATATTTTTTGTTTGGGCTGGACACCTCGATCCACGAAGCGCCCAGAATGCATGCCGCGTAGCGTCTCAGCCACTCCCATGCACACACGTAGCAGGCCAAGCACCGGGTCGCGCAGTCCGTTTGCTTCGCGCTAAATGGGCGACGTGGCCCAGTAACAGTTGGCACTAGAACAGTCTCTACTAGTACTCAGCCGCTGTGAGCCCGGGAGTACAGTTTCCTCAACCTTTGGTAAAAAAGAAAAAGAGAAAGAAAATACACTTTTAGCACCTGTTGAAAGAAAGAAGATTCTGAGAATTTTTTTTGTAGAAATTTATAGAAATCGATTTATTTTCGCCTTGCTTTACGCATGCGAGCAAGTCAATCCTTACCGGGCCAGAAGAGCCACATTGGTTTGCTCAAGCAAAGTAAAAGGCCTGAAAATTTTGCTGGCACAGACTTCAATACAAAGCTCGTCCTCCTACCGATTAAGGGCATGTTTGGATTCATCGTCAATGTTCACCGAGCCTAACTGAACCAAGTTAGCAAATGTTTGGTTCCTTTGCTCGCAGCATCGTTACCGTGCTTTCAGGATTTATCCCTGCTTGCTCACGAGAGCCAATTTGGCTCGCCTCAGCTAGCGAGGCTGACCTTGCCGAGCGAGGCCAGAGGAGGCAACAAGGTGAGAGATCAAAACACACCTTAAGTGAGGCGAGCGTTCTTCTAAGAAACCAAGTAGCCCCCTTTAGTTTAGCTAATGATTTTCACAAAATTATGTAGATATTTACGATATAAAAAAGGAACGAGTATTAATATAAGATTCATCGGCATATTTTCATAATACGTTCATTTAGAATCATAATTTGTTAATATTACTTTATGTAAATGTATCGATATTTTCTTTGTAACGAGGTTGGAACCAATACTACACGCGTTGGACCCTGTACTGGACTACTCGTTCATGTTACCCTGGCGGCCTTTACGCTTGCCGGGCAGTGGTCCTGCGCGGTGGCGCGCCATGCGCGCCAGTGGGCAACATGCATGTCCATGTCGCTGCACAGGCCCTTGCGACAGAGTACGTACAGTTGCTCCGCATGGGCGACGTGACGCCCAAAAGTACAGTACAGTTAAGGCGCGTTTAGATGAATTTTTTTTTGGTTGGGCTACTGTAGCATTTTCGGTTGCATTTGGCCATTAGTGTCTAATTATGGATTAATTAGGTTCGAAAGTTTCGTCTCGTGATTTCTCACCCAACTGTGCAATTAATTTTTTTTTTTATCTATATTTAGTACTTCATGCATGTGCCGCAAGATTCGATGTAATGGGTACTAGAAAAAAAAATTGAAACTAAACAGTACCATCATGGCGCGCTGCCCGACCGTGCGTGCTGCATACTAGTACGTACTCGTACAGCAGGTTGCGGCGGGATTATGAGACGGTTTTAGGGCACGTTTGGTTCCACCCAAAGTTCAGTGAACCCCTCTAAAATTTAGTGACTTTTATTTGGTTTCACCCACTAAAGAAGCTGTCTCACATACACTTTAATCACTTTTAGCTATTCCTTAATAGCTAAAAGCTACTAAACTTTAGTGACTCTCTAAGCCCTTGTTTAGTTTCACCCCAACTTCCAAAAAGTTGCTACAGTATCTGTCACATCGAATGTTTGCGGCCCATGCATGGATCATTAAATGTAGACGAAAAGAAAAATTAATTGCACAGTTTGGTGGGAAATTGCGAGACGAACGTTTTGAGCCTAATTTGTTAACACTATTTGCCAAATAAAAACAAACGTGCTACAGTAGCCCCAAAATCCAAATTTCTCCAACTAAACAAGGGCTAAATTTTAGTGGGGGTTTAATATTTTAGTGACTAAAAGTGACACTAAACTTTAGGAGGGAGTCAACTAAACAGGCCCTTAAAACCGCTACTATGCCGACAATTATAAAAATAACTGATTTTTAGAGGTGGATTTAAGACCGCCTCTAAAAATCGATTTTTAGAGGCGGTTGACTTAAGACAACTGTCCTTAAAAATCGATTTTCTAAGACGGTCAACCGTCCCTAAAAATAATTTTCAATGTTTTTTGAAATTCATTTAGAGTCTAATAAAAATAAGAAAAAATATTTTTAATATAGCCCAAAAAGCTAAGGACCGACCACAGCTCATAAGATTTATTTTTCACTAGTTCTAAATAAGTGTCGACACCCAAGATTCGAACCCACAAACTCTGCCTCGCGTAATACCTTCCCTACCACAACACCACACAGTCATTTGTGTCTAGTCCTACGATATGCTGTCTATTTGTAATAATACTCCCTCCGTCCCATTGAGTTTGTCGTTGGAAAACCGTGCCCCCCTCACAATCCCGCTTCCCGAGCGACAATCTTAACGGGACGGAGGGAGTATGTATGAATCTTGTAATCAATATTTTAACTCATAAACAATTTTAAATGAGAAAACTTTCAACTGCAAAGTTTTAGATCTCGTCGAGAACTACAACTTTGATATAGATCATTTCTCCGTCCAAGGTCATTTGAAAAAATCAAAAAATTTAAATTCAAAATCTGATACTTAATTTATATATTTGGAACCCTAAATGATATCAAACAAAAATTTTGTCAACTACAAAGTTTTAGTTCTCATCGAGCTCTACAATTTTGATATAAATTTTGTCTTCATCCGACTTCATTTAAAAAAGATATGAATTTATTTGTGTTGTAGCTATTTTTAAGGACAGTTGACAACCGCTCTTGAAAATCGATTTCCAGAGGCGGTTGACTTAATAAAACCGCCTCTAAAAATCACTCATTTTCATAGACGGTTGACATAAGCAACCGTTTTTGAAAAAAAAAATATTTTTAGAGGTGGTTCTCTTAACGAAACCGACCATAAAAATAAATATATTTTTAGAGACTGATTTCTTAATAAAACCGTCCTAAAAATTGATTTCTAGCAACGGTTGTATAGCTGTAGTGCCTCCTGCGAAGGTTAATGACATAGGGCTAAGACACCCGCTTCTGTTAGAAAAGTGTGACGTCTCTAAAAAAAAATTATTTTTGTTAGTGCTGGCAGCATGCAAGCATCAGCATGCCGCGGCGGCGCCGGCGCCGGCGCCGGTGGTGCATGCACCTCTGGCCGGTATGGTGGTGTGGTGCATTTGTGAGCTGCGGTGCCAGCGGCGCATGCAATCGGGATGGACGACACATGGTTTTTTTGACCCGGGTGACAGTGCAATGCAAAGTGTCCCATACTATCATGGATTTTGATTCAGTCAGAATTTCTTAAATTTTAACTTAAGTTTATAAAAACATATTACTCCATGTTAACATTCATGATTCAAGATAAGTATGTTACAAAAATACATTAATTTTATGATTAATCTAACATTACTTAGTATCTTTCTATATAAATTAATCAAACTTATAATAAACATGTTTGACTTAAAAAAACGAGAATTGCAAAAAAAAACTGACAAGAGAACGGTACATAAGTGCACAACCGAACCTGACAGAAAGGGAAAATAACATAAATTCAGTCCGAACACAATAAATAAACAAAACAAGCTATGGAGCCTCGCAGAAAATGGCACGATGGGACCTATTCATGATTCCAACGTTGGTAGAGGTCGCGGGCGGAAGAATGCATACCATCAGAGGCCGAGCGAGCACACGTCCTCCATCGCTGCAGGAAAAGGAAAAAGAAAGGCTAGTAGCAGTAGTTCGTGCGTGTACGGTGTATCGCTAGATCACACACACGTACGCAGGCCGCGTGCCGGCGCGCCATTGCAATTTGCACTGCCTGCCTGTGCCTGAGCAGAGACCGCAGAGGGGAGGCGGAGACAGGGCAGCGAAGGACCGAGAATCTAGCAACGGCAACGAGCAGAGGCCCGGCACTTGCGCTCCGCTTCCCCTTCCCTCCACCTCTCCTGCTCTCCAGGCCGCCAGCCCACGCCACCACCCGTTGCCCTGCCGCCGACCACGCCACGCCGCGCGCCAGCTGATTGTTCCATCCTCCCTCCGCCCTCTTAATTTTAGCCGCACCGAGCGCCGCTGTCGTCGTTGGATCGTATCGTGTCGATCGTCGTCGCCGGCCGGAGAGCAGCCCGCCCGCCAGGCCGCCATGGAGGGGAAGAGCGTGGTGATGTCAGCGCTCGGGATCGGGATCGGGGTCGGTGTCGGCCTGGGCCTCGCGTCCGCGCCCTGGGCCGGCGCCTCCGCCTCCGCCAGGGCCGCGGGGGTCACCGTCGAGAGGGTGGAGCAGGACCTCCGCCGCCTCCTCGTCGACGGCGCCGACAGCAAGGTCACCTTCGACGAGTTCCCGTACTACCTCAGGTCTAGTCTCCTCCTCCGTCCTTCCTTCTGTACGTACTCCGTACGTGCTCCTCCCATCGATTCTGCTGCTTTCTGCACCAACGAAAGGAAACAAACAACAGCGACACGCACGTCAGTTCAGAGTTCCTTTCATGAGACGAGACTCTGCTCCAGCCTCCAGCTGCTGCGTCGTCGCCTTGCCTGCTTCGGATCTGTCTGTTGATGCATTTTTCTTAGGCCCCGTTTAGTTCCGAAAATTTTTGGCTTTTGGGTATCGTAGTATTTTCGTTTTTATTTGGTAAAAATTGTTCAATTATGGACTATTTAGGCTTAAAAGATTCGTCTCACGATTTCTCGGCTAACTGTAATTAGTTTTTTTTTTATCTACATTTAGTACTCCATGCATGTGCCGCAAGATTTGATGTGACGGAGAATCTTGAGAATTTTTAGTTTTTGGCTTGGAACTAAACGGGACCTTAGCTTTTTTGTACCCTGTGATGTGATGTGCATGCTACATGAGACGAGTAGACGAGCTGCATGTTCTCTGAATCAGAGGGGAAAAAAACTTGGGATAATTAAATAAAAAAGTAGGAAAGGTGTGTGTGATCTCCAGGCTCAGGGGTCAGCAAAGGAACTCTGCCTGCGGTCGCTGTTGATGGGCAAAACGATTAGTATACCTTGTTTCCGATTTCTGCATTCATAGGACAAGACAAAAGCGATAGATTTTTAGAGGAATTATGAAAAACAAGCAGATCTCGCAGGTGCCTTGGTGCAATCAGATGGCTGCAACGAAAGGTGGTGACAGAAATCGTTCTGTGAAAAAAAGATGGAACTGTTTTGCTGTGTTTCAATCCTTTGCTACTTTATTTAGGCTATAAGTCGGTTTTGGATGAGCAACAAATACATGTTCTATGGTATTAGTTTACTGATGATTAAAAAACACAATTGGTTGCGTCGCCCCCCCCCCCCCCCCCTTTGATGTGCACCACACTTGCCCTTTAACACTCATCTTATTCTCCGATTCCAATTCGCAGTGAGCAAACACGTGTTGTGCTGACAAGCGCTGCCTACGTTCACTTGAAGCAAGCAGAGATTTCTAAGTACACCAGGAATCTTGCTCCAGCCAGCCGTGCAATCCTGCTGTCAGGTCCTGCAGGTACAGTATCATCTTCGATTGGAACTCGCTCAGACAGTTTATTTATGCATCACTGAACTAAGACCCAAGGTCCTGTCTCGAAGAGCTCTACCAGCAGATGCTTGCCAGGGCGCTTGCCCACTATTTTGAAGCAAAGTTGCTGTTGCTAGATCCTACTGATTTTCTTATAAAGGTCAGTTTGGCCGAATGTTCTCTCTTCATTAACAAATTTAACAAATTATGTTGATTTTGTAACCAAATAGTGTCCTTCCTTACAGATCCATAGCAAATATGGCACTGGTGGCAGCACAGAGAAGGTAAGGCCTTTAAACATTCTGACTTTCTGAGGTTACCTTATCTTGTGACTCATTTCCCCATAGCTTCAGGTGTACTCCCTCTGTCCCAAAATAGAAGTCAATCTCGCTTCCCGAGAAGTCAACTTTTTTTAACTTGACCAATTATATATAAAAGAATATTAATATTTATAATACATAATTAATATCATTAGATAGATCGTTGAACATACTTTCATAATAAACTTATTTAGAGATATAAATGTTGCACATATTTTTTACAAACATAGTCAAAGTTGAGAAAGTTTGACCTGCACGCATCCCATAACGACCTTCTTTGTGGGACAGAGGGAGTAGTTACTATTAATAGAAATTACTGGTGTGTTCAGTTTGCTTGTGGTTGATATGATGGCGTAATATGTCTGCATATTGCTGCCAGATCCTTTTGCTGCTTCACAGATTCTCATGCCTCGATTAATTGCTAACAGAAGAGCATTTTTTTTCTTCTTCTTGTCAGACGTTTAAAAGATCAATCTCTGAGACAACGCTTGAACGTGTGTCGGGATTGCTTGGATCTCTTTCAATTCTTTCACAAAAGGAACAGCCCAAAGGTGACACCTGGACATTTAGTAAATACTGTTCAGCTCTTCATTGTACTGCAGTATTTGGCTTGGTCCTTTGTAGTCTACTTCAGGTTTTGAACTGAATATGTGGTACAGCATCAGTGTTCGACAGTTCATGTAGACCTCTAGACGCCATCTCCTTGGACAAGATGAAACATCTATTCTGGCGTGGATACTGCTCTGACTTCACAAATACCATAGCTGAAATAAATGGAATCATTCCATTCCTGTCGTTGTTCTTAGTTATCCGAGAACCTGATTTTTTAGAGAGAGAAAAGGACGTACATGTTTCTCCTCCTTTGATATAATCTGTACCTGCTGTGTGTCGATTTGAAATTCGGTTTGACTTGAAGTCTGTTAGCTGCCATTTATTCTGAATGCTACAGAAAAAGATCCTCTTTCAGTGTAAAACTGAATTCACTTGTACATGTATTACTGAAGAATACAATAACTGGGTGACTTTTAGTTTATTTTAGTTTATAAATGCAGCTGCATATTTGTAAATTTACTTGGTTTTTATCTCAGGAACTATACGTAGACAAAGCAGCATGACGGATGTCAAATTAAGGTGGGAGAATCACAGACCTTAGTGTATTCTTGAAAAAAAAAACTAGGCTTTAGTGAGCTTATTACAGAAACTACAATGCATTTACTGTTTCTTGTATGCACTTCTCTATGCATTCCCAGGAGCTCTGAAAGTATGACCAACTTACCAAAGCTCAGAAGAAATGCATCTACTTCCTCTGATATGAGTAGCATGGCTTCGCAAGGACCTTCAACTAATACAGGTCATAAGATGTTCTTTTGAAACACTTATAGTGGCACATGATTAAGAATTCATGTCACTGGGTAATATTCTTAGTTATCCTGTTTGCTATTTATGAGCAAACTGCAAGAATCAGAAGTATCAGCATTAGATTGGGCCTTTTTTTAAAGAAAAATACCTCTTTAATATTGCTGTCCATGCGCGTTATAAAGATTTTGTTCACATTATGTTTTTTTTTCTGGAGATAACACTGTGCATGCAAACAGTTGAAAATAATTAAACAAGAATATCTGAAAGTGAATAAGCTTGGAGGAAACATACAACTTGTCGCAGCTGTTACCTTCGTAATTCTTGCTGCAATGTCGATTTGATTGATAAATCTTTTCTGTTCTCACGTGTCATGTTTGATAATCAATGCAGCTCCTCTTAGACGCACAAGCAGTTGGACTTTTGATGAGAAAATTTTAGTACAAGCGTTGTACAAGGTTCTGCATTCAGTGTCAAAGAAGTACCCAATTGTACTCTACATAAGAGATGTTGAGAAGCTTCTTCACAAGTCCCCAAAAATGTATCTCCTGTTTGAAAAACTACTAAACAAGCTTGAAGGGCCGGTGTTAGTCCTCGGATCAAGGATTGTAGATATGGACAGTGATGAGGAGTTGGACGACAGATTGACTGTTCTGTTCCCATATAATATAGAAATCAAGCCACCTGAAAACGAAAACCACCTTGTAAGTTGGAACTCCCAAATAGAAGAAGACATGAAGATGATTCAGTTTCAAGATAACCGAAATCATATTATGGAAGTCCTTGCAGAAAATGATCTTGAATGTGATGATTTAGGCTCGATTTGCCTATCTGATACTATGTGCCTTAGTAAGTACATAGAGGAGATTGTGGTGTCTGCTGTTTCATATCACTTGATGAATAACAAAGATCCAAATTACCGAAATGGGAAATTAGTTCTATCCACAAAGAGGTTAGCAGATTAATATAGTTCTCTGTAGATCTTTTATTTCTTGATTTATGACTCTTTCATGGCACAGCTTGTCCCATGCATTGGAAATTTTTCAAGGCAACAAGATGAGCGGTAAGGACAGCATGAAATTGGAAGTGAATGATGGCACCTTAAAGGTTTGTTCAATTTATGTTCCTCATTGTTGATTGTAATTTATTCTAATTAATCAAGATATACACTACTAGGTACACTTAAATTTATGAAAAGTATTATCATTTACTCTTTATACTACAGATATACACTACTAAATAGGTTTGGTTATCTGGTTTCCCTATGCGTCGAAGAAGGCTACTAGATTCTCAATGACGTTATAACAAATTTTGCTAAGTAACTCATATGGAAAGATGACCAATGGTTACAAGTAAACAGTGACATTCAGATTGATACTGAGAAAGTGAGAATAATGCAACCGATGTTTGGATTGATATGGCACAGATGATTTAAAATATTTTACCATTTAAAACTTAGGAAATTAGCGAAGTTTGAGTCCTATTGGCTCACCTTATCTTCTTAATATGAAGATGCTTAATTCCCCTAGGTATTCTTGTTTCACTTGTCTCGAAAACATTTAAAAATGTATGTATTCACATACCATACATCAAATATATAGGCTGCTGAAAAGGCAATTGCTCCAACCACTGCAAAATCAGAAACAAAACCTGCAACATCGCTGCCACCTGTTCGACCTCCGGCTGCTGCTACTGCTGCTGCTGCTCTGGCTGGTGCCCCTGCTCCTAGAGTTGAGAATAAAACAGAACTGGAGAAGAAGGATAATCCACTTCCAGCTACAAAAGCACCGGTACCGTTATTCTGGTTGCATCTTTGAGAAAATAGTTTTCTATGCGTACCCTAGAGGAACTAATTTACCAATTGCCAGTCTGTAACTTGTAATTTCATTTTTTTTTCTCTATTAGGAAGTGCCACCAGATAATGAGTTCGAAAAGCGTATTAGACCAGAAGTGATACCTGCTAATGAAATTGGAGTTTCATTTGATGATATTGGTGCCCTGGATGATATCAAAGAATCCCTTCATGAGCTTGTCATGCTGCCTCTTAGACGACCTGACCTCTTCAAAGGCGGTCTTCTTAAGCCCTGCAGAGGTATATTACTTTTTGGTCCTCCAGGAACCGGCAAGACTATGCTTGCCAAGGCTATAGCAAATGAAGCTCAAGCAAGTTTTATAAATGTCTCTATGTCGACTATCACATCAAAGTGGTTTGGTGAAGACGAAAAGAATGTTCGAGCATTGTTCACGTTAGCTGCTAAAGTAGCACCAACCATCATTTTCGTCGATGAAGTTGATAGCATGCTTGGGCAGCGGAACAGAGCTGGAGAGCACGAGGCTATGAGGAAGATCAAGAATGAATTTATGACACACTGGGATGGCCTGTTGTCAAGACCAGATCAGAGAATTCTTGTTCTTGCTGCGACCAACCGGCCTTTTGATCTTGATGAGGCTATCATCCGTAGGTTCGAGCGAAGGTTTGTATATTTTACTCAAGATGCTAGTAACATTTATGCATCCCTCAGTTTGTTCCCTGAGCTGTGTTCTCTTTCTTTAACAGAATCATGGTAGGTCTGCCATCGACGGAAAGTCGGGAACTCATAATGCGGCAACTTCTGTCAAAGGAGAAAGTTGATGAAGGGCTGGACTATAAGGAGCTAGCAACCATGACAGAAGGATATAGTGGATGTGATCTCAAGGTCAGTAGCATGAAACATGAATGCACACACATGCCCCCCTGGCCCCTGCACATCCAAAAGGAAAAACAAAGGCACCATGCTCAACTCCGATTTATTTTTCTGAGAATACGCAAGAGAGCTGTGTATCTTTGTATTAAGAACTAAAGTAGAGATCCATTCTGCTCAACCCTGAATTCTTCTTTAACAGAACCTGTGCACGACGTCAGCATATCGCCCTGTGAGGGAGCTAATCCAGAGGGAAAGAAAGAAGGAGCTGGTATTCAAACCAAACCACCAGCATCTTAAGAATTTAATTCATGATGAATTTTGTGAATGAATTCACTATGTAAGCTTTATCTTCAATGTCTTCAGGAGAAGCTGAAGCGTGAAAAAGGAGAAACTCAGTCGGATGTTCCAAAGAAGAAAGAAAAGGAGGAGACCATCATTCTAAGGCCGCTGAACATGACGGATCTGAAGGAAGCAAAGAACCAGGTGAATCCATCATCGTATCAAGTGGAATTTGAAACGATGTGGAAGCAGATTAACACTTGTCAACTTGAAAAATAAACTAATGGCAGTTCAAAGTTGTTAATACTCTGTAAACTCTCAAATTCAGGTGGCTGCAAGTTTCGCTGCTGAAGGCGCCATAATGAGCGAGCTGAGGCAATGGAACGAGTTGTATGGTGAAGGAGGCTCCAGAAAGAAGCAGCAATTGACATACTTCCTCTGAGCAGTATGAACATCACACGGAAAAATGTATGGACATAATTTGAAAAGTAGAGTAGAGCACAAAACAGCCATGAGGAAATAGGCCGAACATGTATAAGAACATGAGAAACGAGGGAGTTTTAGGGGACAAGAAATCAGGCCGTAAAAGCCAGTTTCTGGTGTAGGACAAGGAAGAACAATTTTATCTCCACCTAAATTGCAGTTTGCCTGTGCTAGTTGCTTATCACACACTAATAATGAATCTGCGGTGCAGTTTGCTCTTCTTTTCTCTCTCTTTGCCTGGTCCCATCATCCTTATGTATAGGTATAAACTGGTAAGTTGTGGCTAACAGCGAAAGGTTTAGGTAGCAGGAGTATAATATAAGCAGCAGCTTGTGTATGTGGATATTTAGTAGAGCTCAAACAAAACCTAGAGCTGAACTGAGCCCTAGAGTCCTCTGTTTGTTTTACACAGGTACAGTACAGATGCGTTAGGTCTCTTTGCTCTCTCAGATTTTCTAAAGTTTACTCTATGGCTTGCTGTGCTGTGCCACCAAAGGCTATAAGCAAACGGACACCATTAATACTTCAAGCATACCTTCACCAAAGAGTTCAAGTGACTTTCATGTTGCCATACTGTTCAAGTGACTTTAATGTTGCCAGCTGATGGTTTCAAGCATAAGCTCACCTTGGCATGTTTCTGCTATTTTCATGTTGCTATACCATTCCCCAAATAGGAAAGAGCTTCTCAAGAAGCATATTTTCATGTTGCTATACCATTCCCCAAATAGGAAAGAGCTTCTCAAGAAGCATGTTTCTGCTGCTTGACTGTGTAAGTTAAAATTGAGGAAACAGACTTCATCTGAAGCAAGCATGTTTCTTGACATGCTAACCAGTCTTTTACCCATCAAAACCACCAAACTGACTATGTGTTACCTAAGCACCGAAAAAGACCATAAATATCATCAAATTCCAAACTGCATTGATAAGTAGCAAAAACAGTGTCGCAGGTACAGTCTGTGCTCGACATCTTAGATCAAAATCAAACAGCACCACCGAAAATTTAATGCTGCGTCTGCATCACCAATGAAGGGCAAAGCTAGCAATTCGGCTACACCCATCAAAACCAAACAACTAAGCAGCCATACACAACATAATGCATAGGTGGCAAATTGGTGCTCGTACCCATAAGCGCTGCCTCCTGAGAAACTCAGAACCGATTGCTAGCATTCCCTACTAAGAGCAACCTTGGATCACTTGCTTCTAGTGCTTCTTGTCTTTCGCGGGACCCCTTGGTACTTTGCTCAGAACCTTCTCATCAAACACGGCATACTGCTTCTTAATTTCAATCCACCCTTTCTCGCCATACGAGTCAATCTGATCCTCGTACTTCTCATACAGGACAGGTACTGTGTGCAGCACCACAAATACTATTTTGCAGAAGAGAAGATGATCCAGTGTCAGTCAATCAGATACATAGAAGAAGGGTTAAAAACAAGGTTCTCTCTAAGTTGCTTGGATCCCTTACCAATGTAAACCAAGGACAAGAAGTTGCAGCAGCTTCCAAGAACAGAAAGCAACCAAAACCCAGCAATAACCTAAATTTTCCAATAGAGAAAAAATGAGACAAGTGTAGCTTGCTGTATGATCAATTGTTCATCATAGGCAATGACATAGTAGACATACCATTAGGAACTTCTTTATGTCCCGGCCAAGAGCAATCTGGCGGAGATTGGCAAAGGCCCTGTTGATCTCATAACGAGTGGATAGCGCAATGTTGACAACTAAATCTTCAGGAATGATCACCTCTGGGATCTTTGGGGGAGCCCTGAATTAATGGGCAGAATTTCACATCATGAAGTTAGTCTATGCCCACGTAACTAGCAAAGAACAAACTTGCTTCTCTTACAAGTTTGAGCAATTTATGATACTGAGGTGAAATCTTACTTGTGGATAAACGATGAAGCGTTAGACCACAGAAAGAGAACACCCAGAGAGAATATGAGACCATGGCAAACAAAAGTAAGAAGATGGTAGCCAAGCAATTCAAATAGGATCCAGATGGATGTGGCCCCACCAAGTACTCCAGCAGAGATGTTCCTGTTCCTCCACAGGAACACATCAGCAGCTGCAAAATAGAGAACAGTAATGAGTTCGGTAGGTACAACAATGACAGACGATCAGGTATTTAGGTCTCACAATTCCCATTACACCAATCAAGTTTAAGACAGGAGAATATCAGCTGTAGACACAGACAGATGAGCAAATAGTGTGCTTGTTGTCATTTGTTTAGAATAAAGATGTATAATCAGGCACAACAACACAGCACAAGCATCACAATCTCTCTAAAGGAAGACCTTCCATTTCAGAGTAGACAAGGTAGTATCAAACAACTCCAGTGAAATGCCATTTGTTGAGATAAACATAAGGTAAAGGCTACCAGATGTTTCTATTGCAAACAAATTTAAAAACTTAATATTTTCAGAATCTTAATTCAAAGCAACCAAAAGGGCCCTTCAGCATTGATTGATCCTCATGTAAAAACATATAACCTCTGAAATGCGCTTGCAGACACAACAAAGCATACCTAAGCAGATAAGCAATTGGTTCCCACCATGTTAAACGAGAGACCACACGAATTCAACTGGTTGGCAATATTGTTCACAAGCAGTTATAATGCAATAGCAGTAGACACTGCAACAATACTGTATGCCACAGTACGGACAAGCTTAGCAGTGAAAAGTATTCACAACATACAGTGATGCAGATCATATAAGTACGGACGTGCAACGACTTGCATTGATCAAATTTGAAGCAAGCATAGAGTAACCAAGCATGCTAGTCGCCTCCACTTGTCAAGGACAGGTAAGATCCCAATCTGCGGGACTGCGCTGGCCGATCTAAACGACCAATTCCTAAAACCTTAGCTAGCCACATTCCATCAAACCTTAGCAATCAGATCTACTAGTCCGCATCAGCCCACACAGATCCCCAAAGAGTCCAGATCCGATCTAGCGATTTCAAGCCAAAAGGCGAGCACTGTTCAGAGCGTGAGAAACAGAGCCATACGTTTGCCTCCACCGAGGGCCTTGTGGATGGGCTGCTCGCGGCCGAAGAGGCGGAACACCTTGACCTTGGCCTCGGCGGCTGCCGTGGCGGCGGAGTCAGAGGAGGGCTGCTTGACCTCGTCGGCGGGCGGCGCGGGCGGCGCCGAGGGGCGGGGCCGCTCGTCGTTGTCGGAGTCCGAGGACGAGGAGGAGTCGCCCTTGCCGCCGCCGACGTGGAGCTTGTCGGCGAACTTCTCCATCAGTGACTCGTGCTTGGGGCTCGAGCCGCCTTCCTCGTGCGGCTGCGGCTGCTCCGCCATGCCGGAATGGAACGAGCGGGATTGAAATGGAAACCCTCGCGGTGATTGCTGCGGGGGACACGGGAAAGGCGGAGGCGGCGTGGAGGAGAAATGGGGGAGATCTGGTCTCCCTTCGAGCGCTGGGAATTTTATAGGCGCGCAGGGGGTTTAGGGCTGATGGGGAAATCGGGGACGTCAGATTTGGATTGGACGGTGGAAATGTATCGAGTGGGTTTGGTTCGGGCTGGACGACTGGACGGCGGAATGCTTCGGTGCTCGATCGAATCAGGGAGACTGGGAGAGTAACGCTTGGTGTACACGAATTGGTTCGACTTTGGATGGAGGGAAAAACATATCAGACATTCAGGCCCCATGTGTCTCATTTTCGTGAACCACGCGTCGGGAGTTACAAAGATCTAATGGTTTCTGCGGTCGATAAGTCGACTGATATTATTTTATTATGAGAGAAAAATATTATATCATGGCTAATAAGCAGTTCAAGCGAACATGGCGTATGTTTTATTTTCGTATATATCTACAAAATTCAGATTGACTTATAATTTAGCTAAGGACGTGTTTGGATTGCGACCAAACCAACGTCGTAGGTCGCCGAGCTGGAAGTGCGGCACGCCACGGGAGCCAAACGCACACGCCGCACTTTGTCGCAGGTTTGGCACACGCCACAGCTAGTGCAAAACCGTCACCACCGCTCGCCAACTGTTGGGTAGCCATGTGGGACTCATCTAGAGTTTGAAAATTTTCCCATAAAACATGCACAATATAGGATGTGGGACTCATCCACACAAATCCGCTGCACCTCATCTGTGCACGCAAACACATTCTCGTCCACAAACCACATGCCACCGCAGCGTAAAAAACAAAAAAAAAACAGCCGCAACAGTGACTCGTCTCGTCTCCTCCAGTCGTTCTAGCAGGGATGAGCAGAGGACGGTGCTGATTTGTATAGAGGCAGGGGTAGTTTCATAATTTCACATCTAAGTATTGGTTTTCGTGCCCACTCTAGATAGAATCGCAAAAAATTTAAAACGAAGGGAGTATTTGTCTTGAAAAAAAGTAAAACAACACGTGCTGGGGTGCACAAGGAATGGTGCGTGTAGCAGAAACGCGGAGGTGGTGTTAACGGTGGAAAGGTGGGCGGAATCAACGTGGAGGGCACCCCAAATCCCCAATCACACCTGCACCACTCACCTTTCCTGCTGGACTGGGGCCCGCGTTCGGAATCTCTTCACCGTTTGACAGCCTGTTCGGGAGACCGTATCATATCGTGGATTATTTACTGCTGGCTGGTTTGGTGTGAGAGAAAAACACTGTTCCCAGCTGGAAATTTACGATCATTTACGAGCAAGCGAACAGGCTGTCTGAATTAGCGAACGCCGAGACAATTCCCGGTGGGGCCCGCGGGGGTAAAAATCCGTATATCTCTGTACCCTATATGATTTCTGCCATCGTCCTTTTTTTTTCTTTTTCATGCCAATATAAATAGCACGCTTGCTTTGTTTGGAACTTTGGATCAAGCAATCGCAGAAAAGGCGGGAAATATGAACAAACCGATGCCAATTTGCTGTGACCAAAAGCTCTTACTAAAGTAGTTTTACTTTGTACTATTGTGGAGCGTAAATGTATTTTAGAATATAAACTACCCTCTCATATACACT